GTTTGTACAGTTCAGAAGGCTTAATAAGATTGGGGTAATCATATAAGCATTCTCAGCAGGTTTAACTAAATGAAATACAAATGCTCAGGCTCCGATTTTTAAAAATGTAGATTAACTGGCAACTAAATAAGCTCCTCCGTCAATTTAAACTCTTACCAAAAAGTGTCACTGGGGTCACTTTGAAACAGAAGCACTGGCTGCACTTCATGTGCTGTATTCTTACAGGGTTGTGGTGTTGGCATACCTCTGACACTTCTACTTGGTAAAGAAGCTGCCTGTTTCCCTGGCTTCTGGGGAGCTCTCTCCTTAAGCAGTTGTGTGGTCTGTCCGTTGGCCAGCCACAGAAATAATAGAATTTTCAGTTCTAAGATGCTAAAAGTGAACAGCAGGAGGTTTTCCTGAAGCAGTTCAGTACTGTTGATGAATTTAGCTGCACTGAAGGCCAGACTCTCAATGCTGACTCTGTAGTTTGCATTCTGAATGAGTCATTGCTTGGGCAGTTTTATTATACAATATTGAGAAATTCTTCAGTCTCATTCCAGAATAACATCTATTTGATTTGAAATGTATCATAAGCTTACTTTGATACCTGTACTGAGGACCAGTGCCCCCAAAAGAGAGCAGTTCTCCTTTTGAAAGGAAGCATTTTCTTCCCAGATCAAAGGCTTGCAGCAATGCCTGAGTGCACAGTCTGATTTTTGGTGGTGCGGTGTGAATGTATCAAGATGTCACTTAAACTTTGACAGGAAACAGACTGTTGATTGAGATTCTACCAGCCATGTTCTTGACAGCTATGGACTTTCTGTATGGAGCAGAACTCCAGCAGCCTCTCCCAGAGAAGCTCCTTCTTTGAGTTACTCACTGACACCAAAACCAGAGGCCCCATGTCTGCTCACTGCTGCGGAGAAGTACCGGGGTGGCTGCTTCCTTCACTTGGAGAGGGCGGGAACTGAAAAACTAAGCAGGGAATGCAGTAGTCATACCCTGTAGGACAATGGCTTCTATGGGAGCTGCCTCACTTCTCCAAGATCCATATAGGACACATTTGAGTTTTCGTCTTTAATGATGAATGTTTTCCTCCTAGGATCTTTGACTGGCAGACCACAATCCAAGCCAAAGCTCCCTCATCCTTCTCTGTGCATGCTTTACTATTGAGTCTGACAGTACCCTCAGGGTGAAGGCACAGCCCCAGGCAGCGTTATTGCTCAGCAGAATCTTGTCTTCCATGGCTGCATGCATCTGCCATAAAAGTGGTTTCTGCCCTCCAAAGAACCCCTCCACCACAAGTGGCAGGGAAAATGGGCTGGGAAGTAAGGTGCAGTTTCCCTAGTGTGAATAGTGGTTGTCACTAGGCTCCTTCTGCTGTACCCATACAGCTGCTTGCCTAACTGCAGTACTGGCCTGAAACTGGTGTGTGGTCCAAGCCTGTGTGCACAGTTTCTAACCCAAGAAGGGAAAGAGGGAAGGCTGACCATCTATCAGTTGGCTTCTCTGGCAGTGAGAATTGCCCTTGAGAAATGGAATCATCCTTCTTCCTAAATTCCTGGAAAGCCTATTAACACTCTACTTGCTGAGTATTGTGGAGGTGGAGCAGGAAAAGTCTAAAGGTCAGTAGAAAGTTAGTGGTGATGTTTTCTTGAAAAGAGTAATTTCCAGCTATTCTTTCATAAATCTTACCTTATCTAAGGCAGAATCTGTTCATCACATCCACAGTGTCAAGACAACGCAGTCTTTTTATCTACAGGGCCCAGTTTCTTTTGTAAATGTCTGAGACTTCAGGTAAACTGCTGGAAGGTCAAGGGTTTAGAGATCTTTGCTTCATAGCTACCTAAACAATTAGCAGGCATTGACTCATTTCTACTGTGAAAGTAAGACAAAAATTTTTGTCTTACTTCTGGAAATCAGGTAGCACGTGTAGATGTTGGAATAGTTGTGACAGGGAAGTCACTAACTCAGGTGTGGTCCTGTACAGTTAGCTCAGTATCTCTGTACGGTAGAGTAATCTGTAGCACAGGATAACCAAGGCTGGTAATAGCCCCTGTGTTGACTTAACAGCTACATTTTTTTGTTGTCATTTTTGAGTTTGTATTGGCTGTATAAAACCTATTACCCCTGTAAGATCATATTGTTGGTAGTAATTTTTATAAACGTGGGGGTTTTTGTGTCCCTGCACATGCCTTTCCATTACTCTCCACAGGAAATTAATACCAAGCTCATAGGTTTTGGGGAGGAGGTTCTTCCCCCAATTCCTAAACCTTTTAAATATCAGCTTCAGGGGCTTGTCAGTACGAGTTGTCATCATTCTTCAGAGTTAAGTATTTAAAACATAGTTACTGTTTAACATCTCTCCTATTATTACCAGCAGGGAAAGGAGCAAGAGTCTTTCTTTATCATGATAAGATATAAATACATCATTTGTCTCCTTTCCAAGTAAAGGACAAATGTTTACTGAGCACTCATGCCTTTCTGCACCATTGACAATTTTGCTGACTCTGTTTAGGTGACAGACTTAAACTGTTGCTAGGATTTTACGTGTTCCTCCTAATCTTTAAAAAGTCCTTTTTACTGCCTGTAATTCTGTTGATGGGACATTCACTGACCTTCTGTGTTTCAAACTGTTATGTTCTCCTATAAAAAATTAATTCCTGATAATCTCATTTACTCTTCAGTATTTTTCACCATAAGGGTGGCTTTCCAGTTAGCCTCTCTTCTCCTGCATGGAAACACAGCAGGGAGAGAATTACTGTTTCCAGTCTTATAGCAAAAGGTGCATTTTCCACATGATTTTATTTTTTTTAATCTTTTTTGCATATGTCAGTTCCAGGCATAGGCGATGACATATCTGAAAGTAGAGGGCAAAAGAAACAGTTTGGGAATACTTTCCTGCGACAGATAAGGACCTGTCCCTTGTCCTTAGCATTGTTTAAAACAGGGTCTTTCAAAGTAACTGTTGTTTGACAGAAGGCCTTTTTTGGTGGATCAAGTTATTGAATAAATGGCCTTATACTTTTCAAAAATATTTAATGAAGTTCTCAAATCCAAACAAAGTAGTGTTACAAGAAATGAAAGTAGGAGGAATTTGCTCCTTGGTTTTCTTTGTTAATATTTTCTTGTACAATTTTCAACCTTTTTATTTATTAGCCTTATTTAAAGGTAGAAGAGTGGTAATATTTTATTTCAACTTTTTTTATCCCCATATTCCAGATGTTTCAACTTTTTAATTGGATTTAGCTATTATTGATTTCATTACTTCATTAGTATTTTCCCTAATTGATAGTTACTTGCACTTATAATGAATTGTTTCTGATATTTTGGTAGGTAAGATGCAACTATTCAGGAAGATCTCAAAGGATACTATGGCACTACTGAATACAGTGACAGAACCGTCTCTTTGTCAAGATTTCAAAGCTATCCTGGACTAACTGATTGATATTTATTTTATAATTTTTTCAGGTTTGAAAATAAATGCTATGCCTTTAGGTGACTTTTCTCTCTAGTTTGTTTTGATAGAGTGGACCAAAATCAACTTTGTTCAGAAGTTCGGATACCATACAAGGACTTAAAAAGAATACACAATTTTGTTAATATCTTCTTGTTTGTGTTTTTTTGGTTTTTTTTTGGTTTTGGTTTTGGTTTTGTTGGGGGTTTTGTTGGAGGTTTTGTTTTAAATTCACAGGCTATTTGAAGTAATTTACTTGGTTTCATGCAGTGATTCCCATCCTCTTGATGAAGGAATTATTAAACTATGTTCTGTACAAAAATTATCTACTTTCATGTTTCAGTGGGTTGTTTTGAAGGACTGTTCTTCTCTGTGTTGCAGGCTATTTTATAATAAAGTGCCTGGTTAATTGCAATAACACATACTTGTTTCCAGTGCCTTTATTTTATAGTAATCTTTAATATTCTGCCCAGCTGGGTTATGTCATGAAAAACAGTTACCTTCACAGGGCAAGTGCATTCCATGGCATTACCTAGCAAGATGCACAGGCTGGAAATGTTATGCTTTGGAGGTCACAGCTAGTATATGACAAAATTTCACTGTCCAGACTGGATTTTTTTAGTGCACGTTTTATATATTTTGAATCCTTGGTGATATTTTTAATACAGTGTTATATGGAACAATGCTGGTGCATTTATACCTACAAAACAGAAGTTCTTGATTAGAAAATATACCACATATATTGCTCTTCTCTTTGCATTTACTGTTTTTTATTTAGGTTTATCTTTGCCTTTATAAAAAAAAAACTTTTTACAAGGACATATAGTTATAGGGCAAGGGGGATGGTTTTAAACTGAAAGACAGTAGGTTTACATTAGGTATAAGGAGGAAATTCTTTACTGTGAGAGAGACGAGACACTGGAACAGGTTGCCCCAAGAAGTCATGGAAGTCTCATCGCTGGCAGACCACCACCACACAGAGACTGGTAACACAGGTCCTAGAAGCTGATTTACCATATTGCAATCTTTCCATTAATATCACAACTCAGTTCAAAACGTACAGTCAGTCATACAGGTTTGTTTTCTTCTTTCTAAAAAGTGGCACTGTTAAAATAAAAATAAGGCATAGAATAATTGTTCCTACTAGAGATGAAGAACAACCCAGTTGCTTCTCAGCCAGCAGCTCAAACATTTAAACACTCCTGTTCCCCACAATGGTCTGCAGTGATACTGGTGTGAGGGAGCACTCTCATGGACAACATCTCATAAGAGAGGCCTGGCCTGGCAGGAAGCTTTGTTTGGTTGGATCATGAGGCAGGAAGAGACAGCAAGATGCTCCAACGTGAAGAACGGAGAGAATGTAAACTTCACTTATTACTTGGATTAGAACATATTTTCTCTATATCACAATGAATACTGTGAGAGTGCAAACTGCTGATGTGGTCTCAGTTGAAGGTGCAATTTTATAAAAATGAATAAAGTGTAATGCCTGCAATTCCCTGAGCTGATGTTTGTCTTTACCCGCTGAGTCGTTAGTTTTGAACAGTAACCGCTGTTTCTGAAGGCTGTTTGTAAACAGATACAAATACAATGCAGAAATCACAAGAGAAGACTATTTCATTTAAAATATCCTCCACTCAAGAAGGCAAGTGAAAGTAAAGCTGAAACTAGTATGTGTTTTAGCCAATGGAGAATTTGGATATTTGAAGAAAAGCTGGCAGTCTCTACGAAAAACTTGAACTTGCTGCGGTGGCTCACGATAATTGGAAAAACAGTACTGTGAGCATACATGTAAGGAATAGATTAACCATAGCAAGGGGATGCATTTGTTGGTCTAAAATTAGAGGTTTATACTGTTGGGAAGGTAGAAATATTGCATAAAGCTTCTGCACAGAAATGTTCTAAAAGAAATAGTGCTGTATGTTATGGTGGTAAAATATGTTCTACTTAATTGGTAGTAAGGCAGTGTGTTAAACAGCAACTGCTGACAGGAAGTGTTTGGCTGGATTGAATAACTTGAATCTGGAAATATTAAATGAATTAGCTTAGGAGGGTTCTGAATTTGTAATGTGGATTTTCAGCAATCATTGGACAGCTGGGAAAATTGCAAAAGATTTGAGGGTTGGGGTGAAGGTTAAGGTTGTCTCAGCATTTAAGAGAAGGTAAGTAGAGAGAAGTAAGCTACTCAATGTAAGTGAGCTTTCTGGAGGGTTTATATGGGGAGGAAGAGGGGTAGGGCTGAAAATTGTTCCTCATGTGTGTGCAGGGCTGGAAGGGAGGAATTTGACAGAAGTCCCTCTGGAAGATATTGTAGTATCTGGAGGCATTCATCAAACACATCCTTCTCCTCACTGCTTCCTTTTAGGAGGGAATTACAGACTGTGAATCTCAATTTGAGGTAGGTATCAAGTTTTCCAAGTTAGGAAACTGCCTGTGTTCCAGAAGGAATATGCTTTTCTCTCTGCATCTTTCCTCTATTTATTGTATTGTGATAATTTGGTCCTTATTTATAGTGCTGTTGCAATGCTCCTTTTGATGCTTTTTCCTTTAAGAGGCAGTTGAACTCCTTGTCTTAGGGATTTGGATTCTGCTTAAGACTGTGCCTGTGTCCTTTATTAATTTATCCCTAAAGAATCCAGTCTGTCCTTAGAGCCTAGACAATTCTGGAAAAGTCTTGTCTGTCAGAACGGTATGAGTTCACTGCGGAGTATTATAGAAAAATTTGTTGGGATATGGAGATAAAAAATTCAAAGAGGAGTGAGCAGAAGTAGAAAGCATTTAGTATGTAAGACTTCAATACGTTGTTACATATTTACATGCACATCCTTCCCCAGGTAACAGAGTCAGTCATGCAATTCAAGTGAAAATAGTACTTATAAGATGCTGTGCTTCACATGAATAGGAAGGGGAAGGTTGTAGCACTGATTTTACTGGAATAAGGCTACAGTTCTGGCATAGGAATTTGGGTAGAGGTCGCATCAGAAGGGCACTGACAACAGAAACACAATGTTCCTGTGAGAGTTGCTCAACACGTTTTCTACATGTCTCCTGCAGCTAAACAGTAACTTCAGATAGTGTGTTTCCCTGCTATCATTTGTAGTTGCTGGAGCTGAAAATTGTCTTCTCTCTGAGTCCTGTCCTAGGCTGAACTGCATGTCCAGTGACCCACGAAGTCTCTCTTCTCCTGAATGGGAAGGGGCAGCTCAAAAGTCAACAAGTCTGTGAGTGCATCGCCAGCGACGCAAGATGGATTTGTAGACTTAAAAGTCTTGTATATGTAGTTTAATTATTTTCTCATCTTGTGTCTGCATTGATTGGATGTGTTTTTGTGTAACAACAGAATTCTGACCAGATACTTAAACCTGCTGCATATACTTGCATATGTGATTTTAATGAACATCTAGCTATCTGTGGTCAGAGACATGATTATAAAGTATATGCTTTAGTTTGTATTCATACCTTTTATATAAATACATGCACAAAATTTAAATTATTTTTTTCGTTATTCATTCTTTTTGGAAGCATTTTTTACTCATAACATTTCAAATTTTATTTGCAACAGGCAGAGTAGTGATTTAAATCTTCCATGTCATTGTCAAAAGCTTTACAGTGCATAGGTGCAGAACATCAAGAACTCTGATTAGACCTTTGTAACTTGTGAGGTTTCTGTTGACAGAAGCTGTGTTTCCCTGCTGGGGTACCTGCCTCTCTATTGACTTGAAGGGCTGGGGCTGTTGGCAGGCTACCATGGGGCATTGCTGGACATTCTCATGCAGACCATTGGCCAAGTCCACGGCTCTCGGAAATAAAAACGTGTAGCCCAGGCACTTAACTGTTTTGCAGGTGATACTGCTCATCCCACATAGGGGAAGAGCCAGGAGGCTTTGGCCTGGCAACTGCTGTACACACAGACTGTTTACCCTGTGCATTTCTTTCTAGCAGGCAGAGTCACAGTGTGCTTTTCATCATTTGGTGTAGACTGATTGGATGCCACTGTTTCTATTCCCATCACTGCTTCAGGAGAATCTTACTGCCCAGGCCAGTTCACAGAATCATGGAATCATTAAGGTTGGAAAAGACCTCCAAAATCATTAAGTCCAACCTTAAGTGGGAGGGAGAGGGGATGATTTCTATCTTGCAGCTTAATTTTTTTTAGTTTTTTTCTTTTTTTTAGATTTAGTATCCCCCTCACACATCTGCTGCAGCAGCAACCTCCTATGCATAAGAAGAGTTAAAGCAATGGGGCTGGTACTAGGTTAGTGTGCAGGATTTAGGACAGGATGCAGGAGGGACAATTTTATTAATGTAACTGCACTGAAATAGGTTGAAATTAAAGGAAACATAGCACTACTGTTTATATAGTAATAGTGATTGGCTGTAAGTGTATGAACTGCATATACCAGGTTGGTTGATAATATCGTATGACAGCTCATCGTGCCTAACAAAGGCTTATTTTTGCTTGCAGAGCGATACAATGGGTATTTATTCTTTTGGATGAGGAAAGTTGCTGTTAGCCCCCTGACATGAAAATACTTCTGCTGATACAAGGCTTGTGTCCTTGCTTCTGCGCTTTTGTTTGATCAGATGGAAGAGTGCTACCAGAGGTACACACGTGCAGGGAAGGGCAGCTAACAGCACACAGATTGCCTGTACCCAAGGTGGATAAACTTTCTCCTCTTTCATGGGGAAGCCTTCCTATGGAGACAAAAAAGCAAGAGAAAGAAATAATTGGTAGGTACACTTACATTTGCATTTTCTCACACTGTTTTGGTAAGGATAGCAAAATTTTACTCTTGGTCAACAATAGCACTCAGTGGCCATGTCCTCTGTAAACCCTTCGAGTCTAAAGATGGCTGTAAGTATTTTACAGTTTCAAAGATTTATAGCTGTAATTGTGACACATTACTAGGGATACAAGGATGGCCCAAAGAGTTATCAAACCTTCACCCTCTCTTGATTAAAGTCTGTTTATTCGTGTTAGTATTCAAAACTTATCTGGTGTCAGCAATGACTGAGCATGTTCTTTGTCAAACAGGCAAGATTTCTGTCAGAGATTTTGAGGGAATGATGGTAAAGCAATTTCTGCAAGTCTGTGGCTGTGGGTTTTATTTGGAATGATACATACTTAATGGCATTTGGAGGAGATACTGATCCTGTGTAATCCTCACACAGTTTAGGGCCAGAATCAATCTCCAAACCCCTACGCAGGTTGTATTTGAGAGGGATCCAAGAAACTGCAGGTGGCATGAGACAGTGACACCCAAATCAGTTGTTCCGAGCATTGACATGACTTTGTTGCTGAATTAACCAACACTATTCTCAGACCACTGCTCCCTTCCTGTCTGCCTGCCAGAAGTACACATTCATATATTCTTCAGGACCGCAGTGATGTTGGTAGTTCTCACTGAGAATTGTTTTCATCCCTGACATCCTTTTTGCAGTTCTGCTCATGCATTTGTTCTACCTCTGAACCCTATATAGGTATGGAAAGTCTGTGAGACATTTCACTTCAACACTTCTCAGCATTACACACACCTATAACAAATATGGAGCACACAGTATGTGGGACACCTCAAGAAGAGACACATTTTAGTATGTGTAACCTCTTTGCATACTGGAGCCTTCTCATTCTGAGCACTACATCACTTCAGACTGCATTCCATAGGTAAGCAGTAGATAGCAATGATTTTAAAGGATCTGGTAAGGGAGAAAAATAGATAAGTCTTGCTTTTATTAGAGGTTCTGAAAATATTTGGGAACATACATATTTAGGGTTCCAGGCTGTGTAACTTGGTGGCCTCAGCATCTGAAGAGCAACAAAGGCCATGAAGACAATTAGCAAGAGCAGAGGGCTGATAAACCTCCATGTGATTTGCCAGTAGAGATTGAGTTTTCGACCAGTCATCCATTTCACATCTTTACTGAACCTTGTAAAAGAGAGCATGGTTATGATGATGTCAGATCTAGAGTGGTAACAGATTCACTTTTTATAATTTTCTGTAAGTTTTAAACACATTGTACAGCACCCTAAATCATTTCTATTCCATACCATTCTTTAATAACTCACTATTGACTTGAGTAAATAATAATACCAATGAAGTAGGTCTTTACTGATCCCTACCAGAGATCAATGACCAGTTTGTACAGTCAGTTTACATTACCAGAGCACCTAGTCTAAGGTTTCTAAGTACAAATAAATGATAATATTTCAGCAGTTCTGTAGACTATTCAAATATTTAAAATAAAAAGGCAAAATTATCAAGGGATTAAACAGCATGTTAGGAAGAAGTCTGAATTAACCAGCACCAAATCAAATCAGGTCATGGACAAAATTACTGCAACCTGAGTTGTGTTTATGTCTTATGAAAAAAAAAATTCCATCTGTTTCCAACGTACCTTTTAATTTTGTAGACATACACAACTCCAATTACTTCAAAGAAAGCAATGACTAGAAGAGGCACTGAGCCTGCATATCTGTCAAAAATGTCAATCCAGTAACTCCCTGAACCCAGTGTAAAACACAGAGCAATGAGGAAGCTAATTAGACATATTATACCTGAAGAAAAAAAGATATCTTTGTTACTGGAGTATTGAACTTGGTAAGTATATTTTTGTTCTAAATTACTTTTGCTCTTGTTCTAGTAATTTTTATTCTCTCTCCTTCTATGGAGCTACAACAAACTATTTTTGCCTTACAGGACTTAATATCACTTCCCAAATTCAGTTTTCCCTTGTGTGTTGGCCCAGAGGCGCGACTGTTGCAGAAGGAATGCACTTGTGTGACTTGGAACATCCTCCTGTTGTTAATCCTTTAGAAAGCCTGGGCTGTGCTATGCTGTTGCCCAATGTTAATTTTTGGCTGATGCAGTGAGTTTCAAGTGCCCTGATTTCCATGCAGCCATACATAGAATCAAAGCACAGGCAGTTGTCACCTCAGAAGTGTAAAGACTCCCTGAATTTCTGTCCCCCATTTCCTCAAAGAGCCCAGAGCTAGAAAGGTGTATGTCCCTTATGTTCCAGTGTGTATGGTTTGTGTTTCAGCACACTCTTCTGTACAGTCAGTTCTGCTTTAGCAAGATTTAAATTTGTGGTAATTGTGCGAAAAGTGGGAAGGAGGGAATGTGTTGCGGGACACAGACAGGGGCTGCACATCAGTTTGTATGTCTTCCTAATGTGTTATTAATTTCTTCTGGCTCTGAGATGGCCTTTGGTTCATTTCTGTAAAAAGTTGGCTCCAGACATTTTTTTAATTTTACTTAAGGAAGTTCACGATTAGAAAATCCATTTCAAACTAATATGGTTACCTCATCAGGTTGTGAATAAATTTGTTTCTGCATAAAAAGTTGTAAAATGAAGGATATCATTTAAATGCCACAGGAAAACTCTAAAAAAGGCATGACATCAGTATTTCCCATGAGAATTTAAAAGGGCACATTGTGGAAGTATTAATCCAAACTTCCAGAAATTTTTCTGGACCAATTTTTCTGGACCAGTTTCACAGTAGAATCTCTCAGACTCTCATCAAGCCTAGTTCTTAAGGAGCAGGTTGGGTTCAGTACCCACCTCTGGTTGAAAAGATCCCAGTTGTGGTGCAAGAACAGGATCACACACGCTAGTTCCTCATTTTCCAAGTCCTAATTTTCTACTCTGGCATGTTTATAGTAAACGTGAAACGATCTGTAGTATCATAAACCCGAATGAGGGGTGAATGACCTCTCCTACAATTGTGACAGAAGTTCATGTGCAGGTGGTTACGGCAGACCAACCGATGTCATTGGATGCCTTAAAGTGATTTGTATTGGTGCCAAAGGCTTAAGGGAAGACAAAGCTCTTCCTGATGTCTACAGCAGTTCAGAGTGAACTTGACTCCAGGAACAGCAATTTAGCGAGCTTTCTCAGACTGAAACGGCTACCTTGCAAACTTAAGAAAAAAGATGGCAAAGGCAATATAATAGCAACCTGACAGCTTCTACCATAACTGCTACCTCATCTCTGTGCTTATCTTCTGCAAACACAGTCCACTGCCCTTACTTACACTGTGAGATTAAGCTAAATTAATATCACAAATTAATTCCTCTGTGATATTTACTAAGCAGTTGGTAGCTTGTGCATCTATAAAGAAGCCACCCTCTTCAAACAAAGCAAATACCTTACCAGATAATAACTCTTTAGGTGTTGATTTAGATACAATTTGAAGCTCTAGAAGAGGAGTGAAGACACCCTCGATGTTTCCAAACATCGAAGAAAGGCCCAGGCTGAACAACATTATGAAAAACAGGATGGCCCAGGCCTGGGAGCCTGGCATGAGAATGATAGCTTGAGTGAAAACGATGAAAGCCAAGCCAGTTCCTGATACACTCTGCAGAATTCACAAACAGATAAAAATACACATTATAATGTCATTTCTCATGCATGAGTAATTATGACACACTTCTGTCCTTCTCTGAAGTCAAGGGTGCTGGTCAGCCTGTGGGGCTCTGTGGCAGCTGCAGCTGAGAAAATGTGCAGTGGGGAGTGTTTGTGAGGAGTTTAAATTTTCTATCAGAGGTGTCTAGACAGTCATGGAGCAGAACTTTGGCTTGCACAGAGAGATAGGTCCACAGTAAAGCAGATCAGAGAGTTGTAATTGAAATAGCAATTGTTTTGCTAATGCCATCTTAAGTGTGTTTTTCAAAAAATCTCTGATGGTGCTGGAAAGGAAGAGATGTAAATAAGGGTATGATTGTCACACTAGCAGCAAGACAAATGGTGAATTGTTGATTACAAAGGACCCCATAATTGCAAAGGCAGAAAAGACTAATAGGGAAAAAAGCCAATTTCAGACAAATTTCTTTTTATTTAGTCTCCCGAGGACAAGGATATTTAAATATAAGCATTGAAAGATACTAATGTTGCCATAATTTGGAAGTAAGATACTTCAAACCATAAATCAGAAATGGGTGCCATCAGAAGAAGTGAGACAAAACAAACTGACTTGTGCCGGGGCTGGAATGTCCTCCTTGGACTTCTCCATCATGTGAGTAAAATATGGAATGAGGTAGGACAAGTAGACAGAGAAGAAACATCCATGTGTAGTGATAGGGGAAGTGTTTTAGGAGGATTAGAAAATAAGGAAAAGAAGAGGATCCTAATGTATTTTGGTGGCAAACAGTGTACATTGTTATAGGTTTTTTGATGCTTTCCTAAATATAGATTTAGGAAATATAGATTTAAGAAGTATAGGTTTAGGAAATGTAGATTTAGGAAGATTCCAAAATATAGATTTGGGAAATTCCCATTCAGCATCCTTTTTCTGTAATCTTTCATCTAGATGTGTGTCCTCTGTTATGCTTATTCCTATAAACCAAAGTATGACTGAATGTCGTGTCCATGGTAGGCTCCAGGTAGGAGCACCCTTGAAGATTAGTTTTGTGATTATTGTGTGTAATTTTGCATGCTGTAACAGACAGCTTTGAGTTCAAACTACCCTACAATGGTATTGTTATTTCAAATGTTGAAAAATTGATTTGTTCAGTGATTATATATAATATATTCATTACAAGTAGAGCAAAATACAAGCACTTAAAAGAAAAAGGAAGATACCAATCCTTCTACATTATTTTGTTTAAGGATTACCTGTTGGAAGCAGTTATGGTACCTGATCAAGAAATTCTTGAAGGTCACAGCTCTTCAGTTTGAGTCCAGCAATTTTTTCTGGATGTGATGAATTCAGGAAACTGATCCAGGAGGTATAGTTTTGTCGCATGATGCTCTCTTCCGGAAGATCAAATTCATTAATGATACTCATAATGTTCCTGCCAGAGAAGCCAACATAGCATTAGTTTAAATGTTTGCAGATGATGTGACTGGAAATGCTATGCCTTGTATCCAGATGTTACTCAAAAGTTGTGCTTACTTCCTGTGCTGCTTTTTACAATATAAAGGAAAATATTAATTGACAGTTTTTTTATAAAACAGGAAAAAATAGACTATTTAAAGTCATCTTTTTCAGATACAAACTCCGAGTACTTTATGCAGATGCAGTCTCTAAAACGTTTTTATTTTATCAGGTTCTCCAGATCATTTCCACCACTCATGTTTAATAATTTAGTGAATCTGGTGGAATAGAAAAATGTGTTGGTTTCTTACTACTTCTAGTGCTAGTCTGAGACTGAGATGTGAACTTTGATGCACTACTTGAAATGGGTATATTTATGTGGTTATGGTTATATATTTATATGGTTATAATTCGTCTTGCTTCTTATGAATGCTACCCTTGACCATTCTTGCCTCAGTGCCATAATACTTTCTGGTTTTACATTAGACTTCTCCATACATGCTTCTCATCCATAGATGCTTTTCCTTTTTATTGAAAATAAATTCTCTAAATGCATGTTTTTCAAATAACGCATTATCTATTTAAGCATTGGAACCACATTATAACATTGGGAACACAACTTTCTCACCTGTCCAAGCAGTCCCAGTAGGCTGTGGTTGCTTTAAACCCCAAAACAGAAAAGACTGGAATGGAAGCGTAGAGGGATGTCATGCTGTTCACAATTGCTACTGTCACAGCATCCTTTTCACAGTCATTTCTAGGGATAGCATTCAAACAAGTGAAACAACTTAAAAAGGGCAGTATTTTATCTGTGATTCAGTTATTTCTGCAAGCATTTTAATTTTTTAGATTTCCCTCCCCCCCTTTCTGTTAGAAGATCCATTTGGCCTTTTACAAAGACAGAATCTTTTAAGATCCTTTAGAAAAATTAAGATAATTTATAAATATTCTAAAGAAAGAGTTTTGAAAATTAAAAAAAAAAAGGCACAGAATGCAGCAAGAATTTAGCCAGTTAATAAAGGCTGTAGTTCTACTTACTTTGGCAGATTGTAGCTTGAGAATGCAATAAGCCCTCCAAAAGCCAAAGAGAGAGAGAAGAAAATCTGGGTAGCTGCATCAAGCCATACACGGGGATTTTTCAAAGTGTTCAGCTGAAATAATTGGAAGAAATGCATGTATTAGGCTTAAATTAAAATTGCTTTTTCTCTTCCAGTTCTCATAGCTCATCTCTTATTTCGGTTCTGAAATTTTGAGGAAATATAAGGAAAAAGAAGAAAGTGACAGAGTGAAATTTGAATTTTGATGTAAGGGCAACCAACGTCATACAGGAAGCTAAATGAAAAAGCAAGTGGATTACAGAGAATGTTAAGCAGTTTTAAATAGTGGCACTAAGGAATCTTGCCATTGAAATCTGTCTAAAAGAAAGATAAAACATCATCATGGCTAGGCTTCGCGAACGAAGATTTGGGAAAGAGAAAACATAAGTAGTGGGCAAAATGTAAATGTGGTCAATAAATATTAGTTTCCTGCAGAAAGTGGCATGATATATTCATAGCCTACCAGGTGAATTACTTTCCAATCTGTTATCAAGGAGGGGGAATAGAAACCAGTATTTAGTTAAGAATGTTTTAGAAATGAGATGGTTTAAAAGTAATACTGGGACTGCAGAGTATTTCACTTTGTTTTACATCAGTCTGAGTCAAGTCTGCATCCCAGTCTTGCAGGACAACTTGTGTGTCTTCTGTGTCTATCTGATCCTGGTACATGACTGAGAACATTTGCAGGAGTGAGAGGTAAGTATGTCAAAAGACCCTTAATAGCATTTTGGGTTTCTCTGCGGCTGGCCTGGGCTTGAAGAGCAAGAATAATGGATTCACCTCAGTGTGGATGGATGCAGGTAATGCCATTACTGCAGATGCCCTCCCCACAGGGATGTCAGTGCTTTGGCCACAGCAAAAGCGGTGTAACCCTTTGTACAACATAGCATAACAAGCAGATATGTGTAACCACTGCTGGCTGAAATGCTTCAGCTTAGGCAAACCTTTCTAGAGGATTAATTTGAAAGATCATAACCAAACCCTCAAAGGCCAGAGTGCTCACTGGCAGGGCCTTGTGCAGATACAGATCTAGATTGCTATCGCAGTGCAGAAACTTGGCACTCACATTACTGTATGACCTTCACAGTTTGATTAAGTGCTGCCAAGTCAGTGCTGACAGATGCAACTCCTGCAAGTCTGGATTTTTGGCTGCGGACTTTGGCAGATGAGTCTGGAGATAGTTATGACCGGTGCCAGGTGCAGTGCATTTATTGACTCTAAAAGATACTAATCAACCCCCAAACTTGAAGAAATAGCAGGTGGGCAAGCGTGCCATGGCAATGTCATTATCTGCTCTTAAGCAAATTGTTAAAAATATTATTTATATTTTAAGTAATATGGCATACAGATTTTACAAGTATCTTCAGAAGAAAAAATGTGCTGATGCCAGAAACATGCAGATGAAGATATACAACCAGAATGTCAATGAATGAACATGGGAGTAATGAGGAAAGGAAGTATAATTGATACCTCACGGGTGGTAAGATTTTTGGATACTGGAACACATGAAACACAGACAGAAATTTACTTAAAACAGAATTAAAAATTACTGGGTCCCTGTGATGTGTAAAAACTGATGCTTTTCTCATAAGGCCAAGTAACACTGTACTTAAAGGCAGCATTTCATTAGGGCAGTGCTTTTGCTCTCCTTAATACCAGAAACAGTATGGACAGTCCAGGTACCTGGAAAGAAGCTTTAAGTGTCCATGCATAGTAATATATCATAACTGCCAAACAGAGGAAAAAGTTACAAATTGCCTCTGTGGATAGAGGATTTGGTGCCTGTGCTGCCTTTTTCTTTTTCTTGGCTATTCTCACTGCTTGTTAAATAGCTGCAGAGCTCTGGGCACAGGCATCAGTTGCCCAACCAAGTTATTGGAATTTTTCATTGCCAAGCCTCCAAGTATTTACAGTCTCTGAAGCTCTTTCAAATGTGAAAAAGACTGGACAAGGAGACATTTGTTTTCCTGAGCTTGCACAGATGTCCACTGAAGGTGTGCCATGCAGACTCTTGCTGATGCTTGATGGGATCTCTTTTCTGCTGCCTCTCATTACTTATTTTTTTCAAAAACCTTTCCAAAAGTCTGTTTCAGCTCCTGTGTTGCTTCATCTTTGACAACTTCTGCTTTCCCTTCAAGTGTCTGTGAACATCATTTCAGTCTTTTTTATTTTCTTGGCAGCTTCATTTTCCAGGTAGCCAAGAGTTTAGAAAGAGTGAGTGAATTGTCAGACTTTTCCATGTCTGAAAGTCAATGAAAAGAAGTATTCATTATTTGTTCTAAAATTTAGGGTATGCAAGTAAGTCAGATGGCAAAAAACCTATGTATTTCTGCATAGCCTGCCACATTTTAAATCCCTATGCGTGCAGTTGTTATTTGTGATATTTTTTAATGAGAACTGAAATACAAACTTAGAAAGTGAATAAACTTAAACAGTGGTGGTTTGGAGAAAATAAAAATTCATTTGGGTGATTATGATCCTGAAACTGGGTAAGATATAACTTTTAGCACTAGGCGTTACTTCTTTCGCAGATTTTCAAGAACAGTGAGGTGTCACAGTTACCAGAAGGTGGATGTGGCAGCTGTCAGAAACTACAATTTGTGCTGCACTGCAAAGTAGGAAAAAAGTTGGAAAATATTGCCTCCGGTGAGTGGAAATGTCAAGAAGGTTGATTTTATTTATTTATACATTTATTTTAAAAGCAAAGTGAAAAAAGCAGTAGGTGAGCTAATTCTTACTTTATTTTGCTAAAACTTTACCAACTTCCTGCAAAAGACAGGAAAAGAAGAAGGAAACAGCATACACTTAAGAAACACACTTTACAGTTTTGTAAGCAAGTGTGGTCTGGATGGACCAGGTAAATCTCTACCAAAAAAAAAAAACCACCAAAAAAACCCCAACCCACAAACCAATAGCCCCCTGTACAACTCACTTCGGGACATTCCTTGTGGGGAAGCATAACAGGAAACATGACTGTGTTTATTGATGGCAGGGGTGGCAATAGTTCCTCATGAAACAGGCTAACAGGAAAGAAAATATTGGTACTGCAGTTATGGGCTAAGGGGAAGAAGAGAGAAGGGCAGTGTTATGCTTACTGTCTTTTGAAGTCCTTAAAGTGCCACAATCCCCCATAGCAGTTGGTAGGTTGGTTTAACAAAGCCATCTCTCTCTCTCTTACACTATAACTTTCTGTGCAATGGCAACACCCATAGCAGGTATCAATTTACCAGGCTGTTGCATCAGCTTTCCCATGTTTGTAGATGAGAACATAGTTTCATCACTAGAACCATCTTCAGATGACTTGTCAAGTATGTCCCCAGGATTTGCTTCCTCAAACTAGCTAACCATTAACTGCAGGTTGACTGCAAATGGATTTCCACTCTGACTTCTGGCACCAGTCTACAAATCCATCCGGCTCTTTTTATGATGATCTGCTCCTCCTTAGCACTGCAATACCTCCAAGCTTTTGGGAATATAAACAAATCTACTTTCTGCATTAAGTTCAGTGTGCAGTGATCCCAAGTCCCAGAGATGCCTGAGCTCTTCCAGAGAAACCCAACAGCCAGGCTGAGACCAAATGACAACAGGCTAAGCCCTGTTCCTGGTTGTGTTGTCTAACCTGCTTTCTTCCTTAAGATGTTGCACCAAGCTTTTATTGTCACGTCTGGGCCCTAAAAAAATGCAAGTGTATGTTCTGATCATCTGGAATAACCAAGGTTGTCCTTCTTGAGCTCTGGCAGCATTTAGATGGCTGTCCATGCCACTGGGCTTGCAGAGGGAGGGATAAAGAGATGTCTCCTCTGAGCTTTCTCCTATTGTTATCCCTTTCCAGCCTGGCATGTAATATATCTCTGGGCTACCTGACTTATGTTTTCCTTAATGCCTGTTTTCTTGTTGTAGAAAAGGAAAGGGAAAAACCCACTGCTCCTGTGGTTGGAAGTGCTGCTGTGGCTGCAGAACCAGTGGATGCTCTGAGACCACCTATCAGTGGGTGCTGCTTTCGTCCTCTGCACTCACCATTTCATGGAGCTTTTTAGCACAAAGGCAGAATTGTGAGGATCTTGCAGTTTATAGCAACCATTCAGCGGGACAGTCTGACTTTTCATTTGGGAATGCCACTAAGGAGATTGTGAAAAGGGCATTCTGAAACGAGGGATCTGGAACTCCCATCCCTTTGAGAAGATGAGAAAAAATGGGAGAGGCATTCTTCTCTAGCCGTTGTGTCTTTTAGGAACAGCTACGATGGAGGGGAGGAAACTGCAGTTAAGGAGAAACATGGATAGGAGAAAATTACTTTCAACCTTAAAAAAACCCCACTTTGCGGTGTGTAACTCCTCATTAGTTTTCCTTGTGAATTCTTAAAAGATTAAAGTTGTGTAAAATCTATAACCTTGGCATGAAAATCTCATCTTTATCATGTGCTTGTGAAGTTTACTTACACATTCAAGACTGAGGCACCCATAACATACTTAATTTTTCAGTATTTTCTTATATGCTTACTACTGGATTGTTAAATACTTTGATGCTTTTTTTTTCTGCCGAAGTATATTAAAATACTAAATCACTTCATCTCAGAAAAAAGAGCTTATCTGAGCTCTTGGATAGAGAGCTAGATCAAGAGTAGCTGGAAAATGAGTATACAGTGTGAAATCTGAGGGGGAGATAAAGGAAAAGTATTTCTGACTATAGCAGCAATACTTACATTAGGGGTGAAGAGGTAAGCCAGACCATCTGTGGCTCCTGGTAGAGTGAGTCCTTGAATAAGGAATATAGTCAGGACCAGGTAAGGAAATATTGCTGTTACGTAAATTGCCTAAAGTAGGAAAGTCAGAAGACAAACAGTTACTGGCAATAACTTCAATAAAACCTTTAAATTATTGCAACATATAATCCTAATAATATTTGATAAGACAGCTACGGATGAATACTGCCATCTTTAAAAGAAGCAGGGTGTACTTTTGCATAATATATTTCTGAGAAAATTGCCCTTAAAACTGTGTGAGAGAAGGCTGGTAGAGCAGAAGCATTTGCAATGGAGAAAGAGAGAAGCATCATTTTGAGCCACCTGTACTGCTGTTCTGGCTTCATCGGACAAGGAGCACAGTGAAATGGTGCTAGTGTGGTAAATAGGGAAGGCTTTCCTTGGTGGTAAAAACTCGGTATCAGGAGAGCAAGATGCAAAGGTTGGGGTAATGCATTTCTCTGTCCTGTGTACCTTTCCTGTGGTTTCAATTCCTCGGATGGTGCAGAGATAGACAATTGCCCAGCAAGTTGCTAAGCACAAAATGAGCCACCACTGTAATGTGCCACTCTCAGCGATATCAGGTGTTATATTCAAAGTCTTCCTATACCAAAAATAATTTACTGCAGTGCTTTCATAGCATTCTTTGTTGAACCCTGAAAAAAAAAATGTGGCAAGTATTAGAATGAATTGTGGACTGCCAAATCAAATTCAGAGGTGGACTTTCTGCACTGTGTGTAAAGTGCAGCAAGACAAACTCTGTCACATCAGTCTGAGACTCTGAGACTTACTTGAGACCTTCACCAGAACATCACCAGTGCTTCTCCAGGGGATAACTTTCTAAATAGAAACAGTGTTGTATGCAGTGCAAGGTAAAATCTAAATTAATGGCACTGGAGACTAAGGAAATTTTAGCTGTATGTCTGCAAGTTGGTGGAGCCATAACAGGCTTGAGGCACCTGAGGATACTTCTAAGGCCAGGCTCCCCTGGTGATGTCATGGCCCTGTAGCGGGGAAAGACCCAGGCATCGGCCTCTTTGGCTTATGTTTCCAGGAGTTCTGTTAGTGGGAACCTCAGGCACCTGCACCCAGGAGAGAGGACATTCCCCAGCCATGTTCTGTGCCTGAAGAAAAAGGAATGGGGAACATGACATACATCACAACCCATGCTTACCCCTCTGCCTATGAGCAACCTAAATCCCTGAAGAGGGGGTTGACAGAGAATCCTCAGGAAATCCGCTGACCTGCTGTTTTCAGCTGGAAACCCGAGTTCCCTGTTTGCTGCAGCCCCTGCCATTGCTCCCAATCAGAAATGGGTGTGTCCTGAGAACACACAGTGCATTTCCAAAAGCTGAAGTTACACAGTGTGGCAGCACTGATAGCTGTCCCATAACCAGGAGGTCTAGCACACGTCAAGACTGGGGGAGTCTGTGTTCACCTAAGCTTGGTAGATGGGAACAGCTGCTACTTGTATCAGGAAGCAGATCCTTGGAGAGAGCATTGCCTTTGTGATGGAGAATGCAGGTTCTTCCCATCTTGGCCCCGATATTGAAAAATCTGTCCTTAAAGGATTTCTTCATTATTTTCAAAAGATGCTAAACTAAAAATGCAAGGTTTTGTATACCAAATATTGATTAAATAGTTGATCTGCAAAGCAGATTTGGAAAACATCTGTTTAACTCCCTAACTGGGACATCTGAACCTGAGAAATGAAAGAATCCTATTTCTTAAGGCCCAAATAATTTTGTCTACTTCTGTAAGAAACATGGGCTATGTCTTATTGTCTTCCTACTCTAGAACAGTCCTATGGCCTCCAAAAGAAGGTTGACTTCTTTATGTTTTGTCTCTTCACTTAGCCTCTAACTCAGGTTATGGTTCTTGCTCTGCCTGGACCTTGTTTTCTCTCAAACTGAGCAAAAAAGAAAGCTGAAAAACAATTTTAAAGACCTGACATAAGTCCTCCTTGTTCTTCTTAGCTACACTGTCTGTCTTTGGTCTTACTAAAGTTTTGTAACAGGTAGCATGACTTTGGTCTGAGCACCAAAGAATCCCACTTTAAGTAGTTATTCTGCTTATTAATCTTTTTTTTTTTTAACACTGTTATTTTGCTTTCCATTTTGAAATCAAGCAAAATGGCTCATGGATTTTCTGAATCTTGTTGTTTCTCTGAGGATGATGAATTTGAGTAGGCTATTGTGACTCTTGGACCTTTTTAACGTGAAATCAAACCAGGACTTGTGCACAACTCAGGGCCAAATCAAATGTGGATTGGCCTTTTCAGGATTTCTTGGTGAGCCCACACTGACGTTTCTGATCCTCCTTTTGCTAGCAGTGATCATGGTATTGTAGTTACCTGTTCTGTTTGCATTTAGAGGACAAACACTCCAAGGAAGAGGTTCTTGGAAGGAGTTTATGAGATACCACATCACCCAGGTTAAAACAGTATTGTAGTATAAGCTCACCAGAATGGACACCACCCACGAACCAACACCTGCAGAAAGCACAAGATCTCAGCTTAGAAAAGCTTTGGAAAAAATTATCAGTCAGTCACAGCACTAGCTCTTGGAAGCTCACACTTCCTATTGTTTCAAGATTTTCTTGTCCATCCTCCCCTGCCCCTCCTAGAGATTTTCCCCTGAAAGATGGGCATTTGTGTCCTCAGTAGCCAAACATTAGTGCACAGTCTCCCAGCTCATCAACCCTGTTCCAAGAATGCTGACACTCTCTACTTACATAGAAGATTAGGATTGAAACCTTTGTCCTAGTACATAATACATTGTTTTCTATAACATGAGACTTTAATAGTAGAGACCAAAAGAGACTGAAGTTTTACAGCATGCTGTAGCTGCATGAGGCCACTCTTTTGTCCCAAATCATGCACATATGCCCCAAATTGATCTCTGTTTTGCTCCTGTGACAAGGAGGGAAGAATATCACCACATTTTCTGCTTGCTTGTATTTTTACAAAGGACATGCCTAATTGAAGGATGTGGGCTTAGCTGGAAGCACCACCCCGTTGCTTGGTATTTCTTCCTTATTACCCTTGGCCCTTAGATAACTTCTCTCACCCCTCCCTTCTTCTCCCACATGTGCCCACAGGCATGGCTGTCAGTGCCAAGCCCATTTCAAGCACCTGCTTAGTGCAGGGCATGATCCAGCAGGGCTGGCTGGAGCATCCAGAGGCTTCTCCTTGCCCTACAGGCACAAGGGTGCTATCTCAAATACCTAGTAGAGTCAATGCTTCAGTCCTTATGGTGGCTGTTCCCAATCACTTCTACAGCCTAACAATTCATGCAGGACACAAGATGTGTTTTTTCAGTGAATATTCAATAAACAGAAAAGAATTGCCAGTACAGTCCTACACACCAATCTGATGCACACTGCCATGTGGACTGTACCATGTGCCCAGCCGTGTTAATAATGTCCCTTCAGTAGCCCCACTGTGGCCCCCTCTTGTGGAGGGGGCAGCTTTCCCAGGTGCTTTAAACTCATTAGGAGGTGGCCGGATCCTGTTCCTGGTTTCATGTCTTTCTGTCCTCCCTTCAGTCTGGCTATTCATGGACAGAGAAGACTGGCTTCTGGAGGGGCTGTCACAGAGGAGCAAGAAGCACTGTGGGCGGGCAGCCCTTGAGTGAGCACCAAGATATGGTAGGAACAGGACAGTGTTGGCTAGCAGAGCTCACGTTCATTATGCTTCCAACAGCAAAGGTGATGAGGTTTGCATCTAAGGCTCCTGTGTGCCTAGAGCAATACCTGATGAGAGCAATACTGAATTATAGAATAATAGATTTGTTTGGGCTGGACATCTTCAACTAGACCAGGTTGCTCAGAGCCCTACCCAACCTGACCATGACAATTTCCGGGGAAACCACCTCTCTCTTGGCCACCTGTTCCAGTATCTCACCACCCTCATCGAAAAGAAATTCTCTCTAATCCTAACACTCATTAATTTTTGTATCTTAAAAAGCATCAGGCATAGGTGTGTAGGAAGTGTGTGCTGGATGGGAGCTCATTTGCAATTCCTTGAGCTGGGACCCAAAGAGACGTACCAACGCCTCCAAGGTAAGGCGAGACAGTGTTCCAGGCACCAATGCTGCCTTTCCTCAGGCACTGTCCTAAGGCCAATTCAAGATGCAACAGTGGGATTCCTTCGAAGAAAAGAGCAATGAAGTATGGGATCAGGAAAGCCCCTGAAAAGACAATTAAGTGCAATTAAGTCACATGATTATCTGCATCTCACTAAAATTACCGTTTGGTAATTAATCTGCTTTATGAACCTAACAAAGTCTGTGTAGGATGAGTGAGGGATCATTTCTAGGGACACTTGCCAAATTCGTTACTGGTAACTTTGTTGGTGAAGATGGAGGAGGAAGGACTGGGATCCTTAGTGTTGCAGGACACTTCCCCTCAGGCATTTCTACAGCCCATTATAAGTATTTCACTCACTATTTCATCCCTTTACCTTTCTTTTAAGCATCTTTTGTCCCCATTCTCATAAAGAACAAGGATTTGCCTGTCCCCTATACCATCTGTTTTCCCTTCAGTGCATTGGCTTATTCCCCTTCTTAAAGCTCTCAGGCACGTGCTCCTCCATCTTCCACTGCTAAAGCATGATTTTGTGCTGGATACCCCCAAGAGACCAGGTTGCTTTATTACATGAAGTTCTGCTCAGAGCACAGAGCCTCTGGCTAATGAAAAACTGAAAACAAGGCTGAAGTTTTTCTGTGAGACATGGGGGCAACGAAACCCAATTTCTTCCCAGTTTGTATCCTTTACATCTTTCCTGTTTTTCTCACAGCATCTCCTTTGGGCCAGAAGCAGCACATGCTGTTGGTTACCTGTGGGAAGGGACCAGTCCTGCCAGCAGCCTGACTATTTCCCGCTAAACTGTGTGCAATTCCTTGTTTCCCACACTTTCCCTCAGAAAGGACATGGGTTTGGGTCTCCCTTCTTTTGCACAGATACTGATTTTTATGAGACCAGGAGAAGTTCCATCAGGATGTTTATACCACCTGCCCAAATGTCCAGTCAAATTGAAATGGTGTAATAGATTGAAGTTTATTGCCATGACCAACAACCACTGTGACCATGAAGCCTCTTTTCTCTGGGGAAACAAAGACAGAAGTCCTGCCTCAGCCACCTCCCAGTCCTCCTACCAATGTATACTGATTCTATGTTCCTCATTGCTTTGTCAATAAACCTGTGCCTTGTTCTACCATTTCTACTTTGCCTCCAAATCTCATATCTGAGTCTGCTCAGCTCTGCTCTTCCAGTTCTGGAAACTTTCTCCTCTCCCTCCAGGTTGGCAGGGAGATCAGCCTCACCATCCCCATCCAAGAGAGCAGAACAGAGTAGCTCTGCACTATGCTCAGCCTTCAGCCCTGAGAGGGAGGTTGGGGAATGCAGAAGGATTTGCCGTCTCCACCTGGAGTGGCGCCAGGATTCTGCAATCACTGGTTATTTAGAAAGGCTGGGCAGATAAATCTAATCACTTAGGCTAGTGTTGTATTGCAGTAACTTCACTACCTATTGCTAGGAGCTGCAATAAATACATACAACATCCCAAGAAGGTGTGGTGTTGAATGGTTGAGCCCTCTATCAAAAAATCAGCAAAGCTCTTCACAATGGAGGACTGTTCTTAAATTGCCAAAGGTGGAAATAAATGTCTTGCCTTATGACCTGAACTCTTAAGATGTTTTTAACTGCTAAGAAGCAGATTTGAAAAAGGAGTCTCACAGTTAATTCCCAGTATGTTAAATCCTTGATTTGGATCCTTGGTACCCCTGCTCAGTAGTCCTTGTCCTTCGAGGAAGCTCTAAAGTGGCTGTTACAAACTCCCCCCTCCAAGAGACATTTACTGAGGGACTTAAGGACCACAGTAATTTGTTTATTTTTATTTGCCACCTGATGAAATCTCACCTGGAGCTACTTATCAGAGCTCCCATGTAAACGTGAAGGAATTTGGAGGTCCCTTCCACAAGAACTCAGTAACCTCTTGCCATGCTCAGTTCTGTGCTCTGCTTCAAACCTGCTGCAGTATCCCTCTCCACAGCACACCTGACAGCCCAATGCCTTGAACTGGCCCCTGAGAAGAGCAAAATATTCAGGCAAGTGACCAGAGCACCACAGTACGGAGCACTCTACTTCTTTGTCCGGCTGCCTGGCCATACACCAGCTCTGGGCAGTAGCTGTCTTGCTGCAATCCACACAGTGCTGAGGCCTTGCTAACAGAGCACTCCATAAGAGCCCAACCTATCTCCCATATCATATCTCCTGGGAAATAACTATATAATAATTAGTGCAAACTGCCCTCTGTTATCTCTCTCCCCTTTTCTGTTTGCTAGTTGAGCCAGTGACAGCAAAGCATTTAGACATTCTGCTGATAAAAACCTGTTTACTTTGTGCAGGCTTGTGTGTACCTCCAGGCATATTTACAGCATGGCAAAACGTAATGTCACGCTTGGAAAGAAGATACTGGTTTTTCATGAGAACACTATAAAAAATCTGCTATCTGCAAATATGAAAATATGGCAGAAGATTTGGTTAAGAAGAAATAGTTTATGAAGCCAATCTTTCTCGAATCTAATTGAAGTAAACAGCTTGTAGTGTAAAATTAAGTTTTCAGTTATTCATTCCTTTGTATTACCCTATTTTTAGGCAAAAAGAAAATAGTCAGGAGAAGGACAGTCAGCCTGCTGAAGCACTTGAAGCTTACTCTTTTCCACAATAAAATCCCCCACCTATAGCAAAACCAGAAATGCATTAATACAAAGGTATCATGTATGGAATAGTGAGTAGGAACCCTCTAGTACTGTACAGTCAACAGCTCTGTTTAATAGATAGAAGAGGACGTGCAAGAAGGCAAAATTTAAGCACTGTTTTTTAAAAAATGCACTGAGAAATCTAACCACGGAAAAGGCAAGCAGAAAATCCAAGGAGCAGAATGAATCAGCAAGCTGGTACCTAACACACAGCAGATATCACAAACCAGAGCATTCAAACACAGGCACAGCAAAACCCCATCAGAACCCATATGATGCGTAGCACAGGCACAGGAGAAACTCTGTAGATTTGGCTTCCATGAGGCATGGGAGAAGGAAATCTTAGTAGAAACAATCATAAAACACTAGTAACAAATTATCCTGTATCTGGACATTCTAGGTATATTTATATCTAGATATTCTAGATCTATATGCTCTACAAGGAAAGGAAAATAAACTACATAAGAAGCAAGCCAAGGATGGGGGGAACATCTTTAAAAAAAGGTTTATTTTCAGTAATTTTTTCCTCTCAAAAAATGACTAAGAAAATGATAGTGATGAAGTATTTTTAAGTACTTTTAAAGTCTGGAGAAATGCCCATAAAAATTGAAAGTATTGCCAGAGCATGATTTAGTTGCATCCCTGAGGCATGACCTAGGAAAATTTTAGTCTACATCATTCCTTCTGTCAGAAAGACACTGAAGATTCATAAAGCAAGTAGATACATGAAGTACTAAAAGAAGGTCAAGGGGAAGGGGGGAAACCCAGTTCAAAAATCTATGAGAGTTAAAAGTTATTTTGGAAGGAGATCCTGCACAAGGATGCCACAAAGCTGTGGAACAATCCCTGTGCACATGAGAAGGCACAGAAAGCCTTCAAGAATTTTTCAAATCAGGCTATCAACAACTGCAAATACTGGACACACTGGTGAACTGGTTCCATTAAGAATAGAGTCCCAAGTGACAAGGAGCACCAGTGTGTGACACAATTGGTGAAGAACCACTGGAGTGGAGGTAGCTCCACAGTCGCAGCAGTAGAAAAGAAAGGACCTGGTGCACTCAAGATACACTGAGGGGTTTTAACCTGACCCCTTGATTGCAATGCACAGGCAACTGCTCAACCATATTTAGCAGAATGACACTCGAAGAGCATGATCTTTGTTATATCACCTGCACATGACAATCTGGATGAGAAGTGCTATGATGCAGCCTGGGGAGAGCTGCTGATGCACCACAGGGCAGAATGACAATGAGGGTCAGGAAGGAGCACAGTGTAAAGTTGGTTCACAACAACCAGCAAAACAGAGTGAAAGAACCTAACTGGGTTTGCAACTTCTTAGAAAGAGAGACCAACAGACCTGACTAGTGGAAATGTAAGGCAGTTTGAAGAATCAGCCAGGTGACCTCCTGATCTACATAGACCAAGATCAGCAGAAATCGATGAGTCTCAGTGAGAAGCAGAGAAGAAAACCTAGTAGCTTTTCTTGATGATGGGATACTAAGGAAGACTTCCTAAATGTTGGAGAAAAACTTGCAGGAACTGATCCATGGATCAAGTTCTGCCCTTTCAATTTTGCATCTTAGCAGTACTTGTGGATCAGCTTGCAGAAGAAAGGCAAGCAATTTGAAATGATGATCTAAAGACACAAAAACATTTGAAAGGGCAGAACTTGAATAATAACTTTCATTCAGATAGAGATTTAGCAATAGAAAAAATAATTATGATAAAGACTGAAATGACCTTGAAAGTGTAAAAATAGTAACTTCAAATGCATCTGTAGAGTCTGAAAAATTCAGAAAGCACATCTCAGTGTGATACAATGCAACAAGAATTCAGAGATCCACTTTACTGGTTCTGTTGGTACATAGGAGGAAGGGCAATAGATGCACTTTTCCAAAATGCTGAGGACTTAATGGCAAGATACCTACAACAATTTGTGCTTTACCTACAAGAAATTGCAATAGGTGGTAATTACTTGTTCAGATACAGAGAAAAAGCTATTAGCTATTGAAAGAGGATTATCAGACCCATCCCATTTTCTCTATGGGAGTTCAGCTAAGCAGTGTAGTAGTCAACACAGCAAGGAATCACATCAAGACATGTGGTAGGAAAAAAGGAGCAATTTAATTACACTCACTCCTCTCTCTAGAAAATGTACTTCGTGACCTTTATTATGTCTTCTGCACATGCCTCAATTCAGATGAAAAATATGAGCTAGTATAAACATCATATTTGTGCAGCATATTTATGATGGCACTGATTTTGACTTGCAAGTCACATTGTACATCTTACAGATTCTGAGACTTGGCAGGGTTGAATTTCCCCTGTAAATGACTATATTTCCTTGAGCAACATTGAAGGAGCTAAAGCTGAGTCCAGAAATCCAAGGGCGCAATAGCCATTTCAAACAAAGACATTTAATAAGTAAGTAATGGCCAGTCTTCGCGAGCGAAGATTTGGGAAAGGTCATTAACCCTTCGAGCCTGCGCAGTGGATTTTTTAGGTGAGACACAGCGTGCGCTGAACTGAGCCCACCCTTTAATCCTGAGGTTCATCTGCCGGGGCCGAGCAAGCTTGGACAGTGGCAGTGAGGGTCTCAGAACGTAGGTTTGTTTAGAGTGACCTTCTCTTAGATGGATTGCCTTACAGGGCTGACGAGCTCCATCTGCCCGGGGGGCTGGGAATCGAACCCGGGTCGCAGCGGTGAGAGTCCTGCACCCTAACCACTGCGCAGGCTCGAAGGGTTAATGACCTTTCCCAAATCTTCGCTCGCGAAGACTGGCCGTTATTATTCACAAAGACATGTAACACCCATAGATCAACTTATAAAATAATCTTGGTGAACTTCCTTTGAAATACTCATGACTAAAGGATGCAAGCAAGCCGCACTCACACCAGCCTGAGCTATAAAGGGCAAACAAATATAACAGACTGTGAAAGGATCAACTCCAAATGTCACAGCTTTACACTAAGGACTTTAGCAGAACATGACAACAATCCAGAAAATTAAGTTTGTTGCTTGCTGTAACACAATTTTTCTGTCAGAGAGCAAACTGTTCTGCACTTCCCAGCATACTATGTTTGGGTTTGTGTGTCTTTACAGTATCTTCCAGGTATACATGTTGTTCCTCTTGGGTTTTGTTTTCTTTCTGAGGACACAGTGAGCCAGGCATTTAGCAGCAAGTCATAGTTCAAGTTTGAGCAAAAGGTCAGGTAGGGTTATGAAAGTCTGTAAATGGTTGCCCCAGAAGTAAACAGTTCTCCCTTTTTACTATGACTGTAGTGTTTATGCGTATTTCTTTTCCTAGAAAGAAACTGTATTTTATATTAAAGTTATTTTTTCAGTCATCTTATAGGCTCAGGCACATTTTTAATGCCCATGAGCTAGGCAAGCATATACTAACAAAAATTCAAAGTAAACCATTGCAGTCAGTTCAGCTAGAACTGTGATGATTTTTCTAAAGTATACTCAGATGACTCTATGTGTACACATATAGCTATATGACTTGTTAGTGTCTCAGCAATATACTGGGCTGTTTAGAGACTTCTTTTCAATCCCAGTTGCCTGGGAACATTTGTGTTTGTCTGCACTGACTGTGGCAAACAACCTTCATACCCATTAGTCATGAAAAGTAAATAACTAACTTAACTCAGGCAATAAATCCAAATAATCAGTAACGGCAGCAGGTGATAAATGTCAGCAAAACTGATATTATATTAGATACGAGTTACTGAGTAACACTAACGTGCAATGAATCAGGTCCAGAGGTCTGATGGGAAC